CACACACACACACACACACACACACACACACACACACACACACACACACACACACACACACACACACACTTACCACAGAGAGGTGGTGGAGATGTAGTGCACCATCTGAATAAAGGGTAGAGGGTCTGACGATGCTCCACAGTTGCTGCAAACACACTGACACACAAACACAAATAAAACTTGGCATCTGACGCCGTTTACTTTAATCTGCACTTTTTCTGACGTCACAACAGTGTGAAATGTTCCTTTAATCTAAATGACCCATCGTCAAGGCGACAGATGAGACGGCAGCGTCCTGCTCTCACCTGCTCGAAGAGCGTCATAGCAAACTTCTGGTGGGGGATGCAGTGTCGGGCTGTGCAGATGTCCTCTTTGGTCTCATCTGCGATGTGGAAGTGAATCCTCATTAGAATGTTTTCCTGCAGGGAGCAGAGAGGAAGAGACGTGTGTTCAGTTATCACATGAAAAACAATAACAGATGATTGTGTGTGTGTGTGTGTGTGTGTGTTGTCTTACGAAGCACTCTGCAGCGTCGTCCATGATGCCGAGCTGAAACCTCTGCTCGTCCTGGAAGGTTTTGGCAAGTGCGCTACGAAGAGCGTCGGACGGTAAAACCTTCTCGCTGCTGTACTGAAACTGAGCGAAGATACTCTGGACACAAAGAAAACACAGACACACAGTGAGGTCACAAACATGAAGCTGGTCAAGGATCAGCTCCGAGTGTCGGCCGGTGTGATTCTCACCTTTAGAGCGCAGAAAATGCACGAGTCCTCCATACACTTATGAGTCGTCAGCTGACGGAAACTACGACGGAAGATATCGAGGTGCCACAGAACCTGAGAGGGACACAGGGAGGAGAAAATAACACAAAGGCCTGGGTCAGGTCTTCATTCAAGCTGCAGAAGACGAAAGAAAAAAGTGGGAGGAAGGAATAGAAAAGACAAATAATGGAAATAAATCAAAAAATACAAAGAAGCTCCTGCTCAGGAAATGAAGAAATCCTTCTTTTAACAAAGCAGCAGGGAATTCTTTGAGAACATACCTGCTGCTTACAATTTCACCTCTCTATAGATATCGATTTCAAAAAATCTGCTACCTTGCAAAGTTAAAGGAAGAAAAATAATTCCTGTATCCTGCAGTTCTGTCTTGGACAACACCCAATTCTTTCAAGAAGATCGCTGCAGCAGTCAAACAAACTGCATGAACACAGAACCTGAGGCTGAAGGAAATACTGATTCCATGAAACCCCTCAAACCAAAACCACGTTTACCTGCTACGACCTGATCCCAAAATCTTAAGAGCAGGAAACAAGTTGAACGTGATTTAACATCAGAGGAATTTTCAAAATGAAAATAAAAAGTTAAAAATCTGTGCAGCCTTTCTATCCACAGCTCTTTGATAATAATGTAAGACAGCAAAGCTGCCGGCCAATCACCGGTCAACACGGACGCACGGTGGCCGCAAACCTGAGACTACAGCCGGCCAATCAGAGAGCCAGTTCAGAGACCCGGAGCATGTTTAAGAGAGCAAGAGCGACCATGTCAAACACATATGTGGAGCCGTGTGTGTGTGTGTGTTAGCATGTCAGAGTGTGCTCGTCACTCTCTCCATCTGCTCCAGGAGAAAAAACCATCTGGACGCCTGCGTGACGACAAGTTCTCCGGAAGACGAGTGTGTGTGAGAGACCAAGTGAGAGAGATGGAGTGTGTCAAAGTCAGAGTG